ATGACGAAAAAGCCGCAGCGGCCCCTTCATAATGGGGTACGCGCTCAGTCGCTGTAGGATGTTGGTGCATACTTAAACGACACACAAGCACACTTTATAAAAGCGTGTGAGAAAGCATCTGGTATTTTCGACTCACCAAGGCAACCATAGTGCTTGTTCATCAAAAGTATATCATAAAACGACACAAAGGGTGAACCCATAGTTTCGACATAATTCTTGTCGACTGGGATGATTGTAGGCATCGATTTGTCCAGGGCAAAACTGAGCGTAAACAACTTTTCAAGATAGCAAGTCTGAAATCATCAGACAGAGCTTACGCAGATGCCGGATAATGCATTCTACTGCCGTAATCGTAAGGTACATCATAATTATCGGTGGCTGCTTTGGTCTCTAGCGCAAAATCGTTCTTCAGTAAGTTAGCCTGAAATCTCTCTATACATGTATGCTTACTTTTTGAGAAAAGTTCTACTTACAGGAATGTTTTTTACGTTGATTACCACGTACTTGTCACGATCGTATCTCGAGTGAACATGCAACAATCCAAGAGCATGGGCAAGTTCGTGCGCGGCTTTCGCTAACTGCGCGAATGACATATTACAGGTATTAGGAATATAACGTTATGAGTATTACAGTGTGACATAAATAACCCAGAGAAAGCTCCTGTACTTGATGGATGTTACCAACATAAGAATAGCATCCCTTGCCTTCGAAAATCTCGACGCGTTCGGGCGCTTTAATGAGGATTTTGTTCAGCAGAGACATTGCTCTTCTACTCACAAGTAGCGTTTTCAACCATGTCAATGCAAGTATTATCGTGCCATAGTTTCGCCGCTTTTCGAGCAGTATTCTTCATTATGGTATTAGCTGTAATATGCTTTTCAGTGATTTCTAGCTACGAGCATATGATGGGCTTCCAGATTCGTGACAAGATGACAAGTTCAAACATTCAGGGAAGGTCTGCATCCCGCCTCCACACGAATCTGGGAGCCTATGATACTCAAAACTTACTTTCACCTCTTCGAAATGAGTAATAAAGTATGTGCGGCCATTTCATCACGGCGTTTGTGAGTGCCTGTCGTTTCCAACGATTTTCACCATT